GAATTATAGCTATACAAAGCTACATAGCTACCAGGCTAGATTATTTTCTATATAAGAAAAAGGAGTACAGTCTACAGGTTAAGATGGAGGTAAGAGCCTCAAATGCCAAGATTTCATCCCTTTTTCTTTTTTTATTTTTCGGCAGTACTGGGGTTTGAACTCCAGGTCTCATGCTTTCTAGGCAGGCACTCTACCCCTTGAGCCATTCCGCCAGCCTTAATGCAAAGATTTAAATTCATGTTCCACAATTTACGCCACACATGTTAGTTCCCTCTCCCTCTATTTCCTGTGAAAATAAGGGTAACAATTAAACTTACTACACAGGAATGCTGTGAGGATGAAATAAACACTTGAAAATGTGCTTAGAAGAGTGCTTGCCGCAACTGAGCATTCAGCATTGCCAGTATTCCCTAGGTACATAAATGTACACAAGGTGTTTATGTAGACAACACAACCTTGAACTCAAATGCTACCAAGAATAATTTTAAATGAAACTTATCTAACCAGTGGCCAAGTCGTAATTTCACCCTGCTTTATGTGGCACTGGCTATTAATCCCTCCCTCCTCCTCGATCCACTTCTCCACGTGATTTCCAGGATGCTGAACTCTGCTTTTCCTCCTTTCTGACTGTTCTTCCTCAGTCTCTTTGCTGCTCCTTTTCTCTTTGTAGACGTCTCAATCAATGTCAGAGCACCTCAAGCTCCCTCCTTGGCTTCTCTGCTGTTTCGACTCCTCTCCTGCAACCCAAGCTGGTTTCTGGTCAACTAACTCCCCTGTTTTTCTCTCCAGTCCAGCTCTCTAGTTCAACACTAGACTCATATCCACTCTCTACATGACATCTCTAGCTTGATGTCAATGATATCCCTGATTCAATTTTGTCCACAACTGAACTTGGTCTTCCCCCAAATCCACAGGTCTCCCCAGCATAATTAATGGTTCCTCCATCCTTCCAATTGCTCAGGTGAAAAATCTCAACATTATACATGACTTCTCTTTTTCTCTTACACAACACATGCATCAGGAATTCCTGTGGATTCAATCTTCAAAATACCTAGAATCTAACTACTTCTCATCATCTCTATTGCACCATCCAGCTCCAAGTCAAAAAATCACTTCTTTAATACTGCAAAATCCTAAGCAGTGTCCCAGCTTCTACTCTTGCCCCCCCTAATTCATTCTCAAAACAGTAACCAGACTGACCCTTCAAATTCATCTGGTCATGTTAGTAGATTCAAAGTCCTTCAGTGGTTCCCCATTTTTCTCACAAGTATGAGACAAAGACCCTATCATGGCTCAGAAGGCCTTATGTGACATGGGTTTGTCATTTGTCAGATGGGGGCCAAGACAACCAGACGGGGGCAAAAACGGATGTGAGGATCCACAAAACTGAAGAGACTATCAGTGTGAAAAATTCAAACTTGCAAAAATACCCATTTCTAAATTATCAATGTCTTATACGTCCAAAGTTCCGAATATACCTTCCATTTACAAAAAATATTTGAGTCTCTTAGAAACAGAAGTGGCCCAAGATAGCAAATGTTTCTTTTACAAAAAGGGAAATAAAGTCTTCAGGTTCAAGTTACTTTTCCAAGGTGAAAGAAATAACTAGCTGCAGAAGAGTTAAAATCCACTGGCATCTGAAACAACCAAACTCTCCAAAAAACCGAAAACCAATGCAGGTTTTCTGCATATATAAACATCTGATCATATGGATACAGTTCCATGAATGATTTGTCTTCTCTTGGCTACAACAATCTATGACTGTGATGATTACAGTTTTATTCTTACTGTGTAAACCTTGTTGCCAGGTTTACTGAGGTGTAATTTACAAACAATAAATTTTCAGGCATCCACTTCTAAGAATTTTGACAAACATATATAGCCATGAAACCATTTCTACTACCAATATATAAGACATCTCACTACCCCTAAAAGCACCCCCTCAATCCCTAGCCTCTGGCAACTACTCATCTTTTTTCTGTCCCTGTATTTTTGCCTTTTCTGAGACTGCAGCATAAAAAAGCATACACTATGGAATCTTTTAAGGCAAGCTTATTTAATTTGTCACAATGCATTTGAGAGTCATTACTCTGTTGCATGTATCAGTGTTTCATTCCTTTTATTGCTGAGTATGGATGTATCATGGTTTATCTATTTGTCAGGTGATGAATATTTGGGTTGTCTCCAGGTTTAGGCAATTATGAACAGAATCATTACAAACATTCCCATATAGATTTCTACACAGACATAAGCTTTCATTCTCTTGAGTAGACAACTAAAAATGGGACGTGTTTAACTTTGTGAGAAACTGCCAGTGTTCCAAAGTTGCTGTGCCATTTAGTAATGTCTAAGAGTTCAGTTTGAAAGAGGTCTTTGCAGCATTTAGTACTGGCAGGTTTTTATTTGTGTTTTTTTAACATTAGCCATTCATGTAGATACAGCTTATTCTATTCTGCATATCCCAAGTGACTACTAAGCATCTTCTCCTCTATCACATAAACTGTAAGCATGTCCTCACAATAAAAAGCCTATGACCACATGCCATGGACCAAATTAGTAAGGGAAAGAGGACTTCAGTAAAAGGGCACACAACTCTTAAGCTTCTATTCTCTATCCAGCTAAAGTATCTATGAGGTGCATGCGCAGTTCCCGCAGCACTGGAAAAATGGAGGCGAGAGAAGAAAGAAAAAAGTTCCCATTGGTTCCAGAAAATCTCCTGAAAAAGAGGAAGCCTTATGAAGCCCTCAAAGCTACCCAAGCAAAGCAAGCACTTTTGGAAAAGGAGAGTAAAGGAAAAGAGTTCAGGTTTAAATGGCTGCAATCATTCCTACATGATTCCTGGCGACTGCAACGCAATATGGTGCGTGTCAGACATCTGGAAGTGAAACCTCGTGCTTTGGCAGTGCCTGATAAACATTCCTTGGCCTTTGTTGTGCGCATCCAAAGGAATGAAGGTGTCAGTTTACTTCACTGCAAGACTTCATCTGAAGAAATTATTTAGTGGTGTCTCTGTCAGAGTCACGCCCCAAAACGTAAAAGTGCTTTGTGTATTGGAAACTTATGTGACCTGGGGATTTCCAAATCTGAAGTGTGTCCGAGAACTCATCTTGAAATGTGGACAAGCAAAGGTTAAGAATAAGACCATCCCTCTGACAGACAACACTGTAATTAAAGAGCACCTGGGGAAGTTTGGTGTCATTTGCTGCAAGACCTCATTCATGAAATAGCCTTCCTGGGGAAGCATTTCCAGGAGATTTCCAGATTCTTGCGTCCTTACCACCTCTCTGTGGCCCATCACACTATTAAGAATAGAGTGGGCTTCCTTTAAGGAGATGGGTTCACCTGGCTATCAGAGTGAACACATCAATCAGCTCATCTGCCAGCTGAACTAGACCTGGAATATCTGAAAGCATAATACAAAAGCATATGCCTTTATCTTTTGGAACTGTTATCAAGTATCTTCAAAGATTATTTTTTACCTTCAGAAACTGGAAGGAAAGGGTAGGGGGAAAGACAAGTTGTGATCATGGCAAGCCCCTGGTAACAGCCCAGTTCAAAGGAAAAGTTCCAATCAACATATGTCGTTGAGGAAGCTGCCCTACTTTGTTATCTTCAATTTTGGGTGTTTAATTTTGGTGGATAAATAAGCACATGTACCATGTCCCCAAGACTGTTGCACAACAGACCAAGCCCAGGAGTGTGCCTGAATCTAGGAGTTCAAGGGCCTTGAAGACTTGTAATACAGTTTTGGCATGTACAGAAAAACAGTTAATTAATTAAAAAAATAAAAGTATGTATGAAATAATACACATGAAACTTTTAAAATATGAAAAGTCAGTCTAAGGAACTGTAATTGCTAATGAGTGCTCTGAAGTTATAGATATAAAAACTGTACCGGGGCTTCTAGCTCTCCCAGATAGCAGGTGAATCAAAGATCTTAAACTGATCTGCCCTGCCAACACTGTCTCCATCTACAATTATGAAATTGTGCTGAATTAAACTAGTTTTCTACAATGAAGACCAAGTCCAGTTTGTTTGCTTTATTTTAGGAGAAAGGGTCTTGCCACACTGCCCAGGTTGACCTCAAACTCCTGGAGCCAAGCAATCCTCCTGCCGCAGTCTTCCAAGTAGCTGGTATTATAGCACACACCATCATGGCTGGCTCTAAAGTCTATTGTGTTAACAAAAATGTCACATTTCATAGCCAACATAACCACTGAGTTCTGCTTTCTAACAATGGCAAGGGGAAAATGTATTATTTTAGTATGAGCACCTGGCCAACTTCTACCTAATTCTTCCTCCTGTGACTAACATCTCACAGGTCAATAAACCTTTTTGGGTTTTGGGGAGTACTGAGGTTTAAACTCAGGGCTTCACATTTTCTAAGCAGGTACTCTACTACTTGAGCCATCCTCTCAGCCCTTGTTTAGTATATAGTCTTGTGTTTTTGCCAAGAACGGGCCTTAGATTATGATCTTCTTATCTATGCCTCCCACGTAGCTGTGATTATAAATGTGTATCACTACTTATTTTGTTGAAATGGTGTCTTGCTAACTTTTTGCCCAGACTGGTCTCAAACCACAATCTTCCCAATCTCTACCTCTCCCATAGCTAGGATTACAGGCATGAGTCACCATGCCTGGCCCTAAATAAAACTTTAGGCTTCCAAAAACCAAGAAGACCTATCCATTTGACTTTCAAGAACCTCTGTCTTTCAGTGATAAATAAAATGAATTTTAGTGGACAAATAAGAATTCCTGGTATAAGAGTTTCTTTAAAAAAAAAATACTAAGAATAAAATTGCCTGTCCAAGATTCCTCAGAATATATGGAGAGACAGAATGACTAACTGAAAACCACTTAAAGTGATCTGAGTGAATCCCTTAGGATCATGACAGATGTCTGCATTCCCAATGTGATAAATCAATAGGCAAAACCACCAATGAGTTGGAGCACTGTTCTAGTCAAGAGTATTATTCTTCACCTAAAGGGGAAGCTTACCTTTCTTTCCTTTAACAGTTTCTTATACCCATTTGATCCAAGTGATAATAAAGTAATAAGGACATCTAAGGAAGGTGAAGCTGAAGCTCTTCCTAAAATAAAGACAGGAATTTCCATTAAGCTGGGGAGTCTGAACATTAGGATTTATTACAGCAGTCTATGTGCAATTGGATTTTTGTTAGTTACTTTTTCTGAAGAACTTATTTACCTGGATACATCTTGCTGATTTCCTGAATAAAGGACTCATTAAAGCCAGCAATTATAGCACCACCTACTGGAACCATAAAATTTTTGTCCAAGCTCTGAACGAAAGCATCTATTCTACCAATCCGAGCCCCCTAGAATCAAATAACATGTAATATTACATATTAGTTGCCAGGACAAAACAACCTCTATTAACAAATAAGCACCACAGGAATGATAAATATTTGAGATGATGACTCTGTTAATTATCTTGATTTGGCCATTTTACAAGACATACATACTTCAAAACACCGTATTTTATACCGTAAATATATACAATACCTTAATTTAAATAAGTACCATTAAAACAATGCACAAAAGTAAAAAACAAGCCAAAGTCTGTTATTTGCTTTGAAACGATGCCAGTGTTTTTCAGTATTGAACAAAGATTTTAAATGGTGCTCCTTATAAACACAACAGCACTTTGTAATTTATGCCTGTTCACACACAAACTAGCCATTCTCATAACAACCCTGGGAAGCGGGCAAGTTTTCATTTTCAGTGCAAGTGCAAATTTTACCGAAGCAGACCTTTCTACCTTAAAACTGGATTAAGAGAGAATGGATTCCTCCTCTGCCTCTTTATCTGTGATCCTTGATTTGACAAAAAATGTCTACAGTGGGTCCTACAACTATTAAGCAGTTTTAAACTGCCCCTGTGAGTTCAAGAGTGGTCACCACAATCTAACAAATTTTAGCCACCCAAGCTGCTAAATAGACAGGTAAGTGCCTTTCTTTTGATGCTTGGGCAATCTACTAACTTTTTTTTTTTCAGTGCTGGTGACAGAACCTCTGGCCTTATGAGCCAGCAAGCAATCTACCACTGAGATACAGTCCTGGCCCCTCAATCTACTACATTTATGACCACTGTAGTAGACGAAGTAGTAACAGACACGGTAGTAGACAACAAGCTCTGCTACAGCTCTAAAATAACAAAAGAGAAAAGCAGACTCTTATTTTTAACATCAACTAATGGCAATTGTATTTGTATACTGTTGACCATTCCAAAAGCAATGTTTCTATACAATTCATGTTTCTTAGTATTATAATCTTAGATGATCTCATTCCACTGAAATGAACTCAAAAGAAAATCTAGTATTACGGTGAAAAACTGAATATTTACCTATTGGTAATGTAAAAGTAAGTTCTGGTCCCCATCCACCATAGTACATGACCTTCTGTCTAATGTGCTTCAATTTTCTCCTCTTGAAAGTAAAGATACTATCTAAATTTCAACTAAGATAGTTTTTTTTCTTTATCTATAGCCACAGATTTTCAATCTATGTTCACAATCTACATTCCTATTAATATTATAACCACATTTGACCTTTATTTTCACATTTTCTACCCACCTCCATATCTTAGGGAGAAAGGAATGCAGATAGCTGGCCTAATCTCAAAGACCAGATTCAGGCAACAGGTAGAGGCAGCAAAAGCAGGAAAGGGAGGCTACTCAGAGGCCATTATGTAATTATTTAAATCTTAACATTCCCCTGCTACTTTTCTTATTTCTTAATAAACTATGACCAGGGAAATTCCCACCGTATCTCAGAGCAACACAGAGAAGCATACATGACTAATGCAATAAATAACTAAGAAACACCCCCAAGTAACAGCAGGTAAAAATAAAGTGGCAGTCATGGTTGCCTGCTTATGTAAGAATGATCAAAGCTTCCTAAGAAAAACATGAACGTTAACTAAGAGCAGAATACTAAGAGAGGAATCAATACACCAGACTTTGGTAGAACCCTTTGATAACTAAAACATAGGGCTCAAAAGACAGCACACTCTGACAAGAAAATAAGCAGGCCAGACCCAATCTCAGAATGACACAAAGGCCACATTACCCATATTACCACGGAAGGCTACCTTAGGATGGGGGAGGGGAACAAGCAGGAGGTTGGAAGAGCTGAAATGGAATAGGAAACATAGGTGCATGGTCCATGAAACAAAGGCTTGCCATCTATTAATCTCATCCACTCATTTATTCACAGAGCAAATATATGAGCCCTTACCATTGTTCTAAGTTCTGACAATAGCATCAGTGAATAAAGCAAGTAATTGTTCCTATAATAATCACTTCCAGGAAGCTAGGCCTGGTGGCACATGCCTGTAAACCCAGCACTCAGGAAGCTGAGGCAGGAGGATCAAGAGTTCAAGGCCACCCTGGGCAACTTAGTGAGACCCTGTCTCAAAATACAAAAGGGTTGGGGATGTGGTTCAGTGGTAGAGTGCTTGCCTAGCATCCATTGTTGGGCTCTAAGTTTGATATACTGTACCACAAAAAAGAAAAAAAAATGCTGCTACAATGTACTGAGTGCTTATTGTGTGGAGCACTGTTCTAAGCATTGTATGTTCAAAACACACTTAATCATCACAATAACTAAATGAGGTAGATCCTATTATAATACCCGTTTCATAGATATCAGAATTAAAGCACAAGGAAATTAAAGTTGCATGCCCAAGATAAGCTGAGATTCAAATCCAGGCAATTACAGCATCTTACTGAAGGCTACCCAAGCACCCTGACACAGCAGAGACTAGAATCTAGACACAGAGGCCATGTTTAAAAGATAAAACAGTATTCTTATGGCATTTCTCTCTTCTCGCTACTCAGACAAAATGCATGTTGTCCCTGATTCTCACACTCCCCTACCCTCCATATTGTTCACCAGCGTACTCGATCAAATCCACTCTCAAAATACATCTGGATTCAACCATTTCTCTCTGCTTGCACAGAAGCCACACTGGTCCCAGCAGTTAACATGTTTCACATGGAGCGCTACAATAGCCACTGCTGCCATCAATATTCTATTTCCCCACAGCGCACATGTTACTCTCCAGCATAGCGAATGGCTACACTACAAACACCACCCTAAATGCACTACCCGGTCCAGCTATACAGGCTTCCTTGCTATTCCTCACACATTCCTAGCATGCTTCTACCCAGAGTCTTGGCACATGCTATACCTTCTAACTGGCCTCTCTCTCTCTCAAGACCTGCACAGCTCAGTCCTTCGCATCATTCAGGGATCTGGTGGAAGGTTACTTTTGGAAGAGGCCTTCATCACTCCATCCAATATGACACCCATCCCTCCCAAACACCAGAAAACTTATCAAGACCTGCCATACTATTTTCTGTCTGTTTCCAAAAACAGAATGCTCTGTGAGGTCAGGATTTTGATGCATTCATCACTGCATCTCCAGCACATACCCTTGTAGGTGCCTGACACACTAGTGGGAATCCAGTAAATACTGTTGAATAAAGTGACCATTAGGTCTGTGCATACGTAGTAATAACACTTTGCTCAGATTCTTAATAAGCCAAGTAACTGCCTCCCATACTTTTTGGAGCTTTACAATATATTCTGACTAAAATAATAATCATATATACATGTTTTTATAACTCTAATATATTCTTCTCCATTAATCTGCCCTAAAATCCATGTTTTACAAATCTCCCAAATTAGTCATTTCAGTAAACATAAACAATTATACTTCAAGAGTGCATGTACATCCCAGAATATCCTCTCTGCTCAAAACTAAGTAACTCTAGGGCATCGCCTTAAAAACTTTTTAAATTCTGAAAAGTTTCAGTTACAGTTCTCTCTTCATTGATTGTCTGGTTATTGCACTACTATTTCTCAAGAAAAGACTTGCAGTTTTAGTGTTTCATTTTTGAAAGGAAAATGTGGGGCCCTGGAGCCACATGGAGTTAAATGGGCTACTTTGCAGCTGTGGGACTTCGGGCAAGTTACTTAACCCCACAGAGTGTGTTTCTTTGGTATAGAATGGGAACAACAGGAAGTACACCTTAAACTGTTAGGATTACATCAAGAAACTTTAAAAGCCTGGCAGGATGCCTGACACACGTGGAGGGTCCTCAGTAAAGGGTTATGGATTACCAATGAGAACCACCGAGTGAGATAAAGCTAGCTTTAATTATTTAGAATGTCATGAAACAACAACCAGCACTCAACAAGTCCCATTTACTAGTTTAAAGCAACACTGCCACAACCACTTTCTGTGAACGTCAATTTGGAGAAAAAAAAATTTTTTTTAAAAGACAAGTCAATTCTAGAAGATAATACAATATCTGCAACACACTCATATCTGCATTTTAAAAATTCATCTGCCCATCTTCTAGTTTTAATTTTTCTGTTTAAAAATGTATGAAACACCTCATGGACAGAGAGAGAGAATGAAAAGAAGGGTGCTAAGGTACACAACTCTAAGGACTCCTTCCAAATGTTTTGCAGCTCAGTTTCTTTTTGTCTTTATTTCGTGAAACATGCTCCTAACTTCCCAGTATTTGAAAATAGACTGTGAGCACCAAAACATGGGGTACTTCTACATTAGGTAAAAACATCTGATTAACTGTTCAGGTTGATCCTTTTAATGGATCAAAAACTATACAAGCAGACGGAGAGTATAGAAATAAAACACTATGAGATGTATTTGCCATAACTGTACAAAACAAAAATACATACATATAAAAACAGAACATGTCAACCCAGAAGTTATTAAAGATAACTTCAATAGGGTAAGATGGTAAGATGTGTGAATCTTCTACTCCTTCCTTACTTTTCTATGTTTTAGCTGATTTATTTGAATTTCAAAAAGAATTAAAGAGCAAGGATAAAAAGAGAAATAAAAATGAGTCAGCTATATAAAATGTTTTCAAGATTTCCAGCATAGAAAATTATATACCCTTCTCCTGTTACCATACAAATTACATATAATCGAGTCTAGAATTATAAGGAAGCCTTAAAAAGTTATGAAAAAGATACCAAGGAAAATGGGTTTAAGAAATCCTGACATATCATGCCTACAACCCACTCCACATCTGCCTTAGATTACATAAACTAATCTATTTCCTTATCAGATAATCCAATTTGAATTATGTTTCTGTTACTTGAAATGACATCCTAACTAGTACAAACTCTGAGTAAAGAAATTAAACAAATCAGTTGCTACTATTATCATACAACCAAATTTATGCCAAAGATGAAATTACATGCAAAATGATAACAAACAAGAATTTACTAGAAGATCTACTGGGCTTCAGTACATTCACCACATTGCAGAAGGTCACAATCCATAAGTAACTTATGTCCATGTTAACACAAATCACATACGCCAAAAGTGACTATGTATGCTATTATCCCTATGCACACAAATTATATACCCAAGTTATATAAACACTTCACCTATCCATTCACTCTGTTCAGTAATCAGGTACTGAGTGTCAATTATGTATTAGGAAGTGTCCTAAGTATTAAGGGCATAGCAGCACACAAAGTTGTAATCCTAACAGAACCTTTATTCTAACTACTATCAATAACTAGATCATATACAAACATCAAATGGTAATAAATGCCATGGAGAAAAACACCAAGGGGCCACTGATTTTAAGAAACATCATTATTTTACATATTACTAGGTAAGAAAAGACATTGCTAATTAACATTGTAAAACATCCCTGTTCATAAACATTCCAATTTAGAGATGTCATAATGTGGAAAACTGTGTTTCTTAAAATTGATGAGCATGGTAAAACAGGAAAAGGGGACTAGAAAACACTAGCAAGAAAGAGGGAGTGTTATTTTAGACAGGATGTCTGAGAAAGTCTCACTGACCTAATGAGGAGAAGCCATGTCACACTCTAGAAGAGGAGTCCAAGGAGTGCTAAGCAAGAACAAAAGCAGACCCATGGCATGATGGAACAGAAAGGCAGTGAGGGCACTGAACAGAACAGGTGAGAGGAAGTTTGGCAGAAAATGAAATCTGAGAGCAGCAGAGGCCTGCACACAAGCTTCTTAGGCCATAGCTCTGACTCTTATTCTGAATGGGATGGGAAATACAGGCATATTTTCAAAATTAGAACCAAAACTCAATAAACATGATCTAGCTAATGCTAAAAGAAAAAAAAAAAAACTCCACAGTTATATGCTAAAATGTTTACAAATGAAGTCATTTCCAGTCTAGAATAATAAGGTAAAATAACTCCTGAAATCCATAATATAATCATCAATACAATTTTTAAATACTATAAATATATTAGAAATATGAGAATATTGGTAAAGAAACATTCTCAGAAAGTTAAAAATTCTATTGTACTATTTCTATGTTCATTTGGGCTGCCAAAACTATTGTCCAATTACCACCATACTACCAGGGAAAAAAGATTTTCACTAAAAAAATATTGGATCCAAGTTTCCAGAGCTCCCTGAAGTAAAGAGGGACAACGTAACTGTTTTTACTGTATTAGGTTATGAGAAAAAGTACTAATCTTGTGCCATGTAAAATCTACTTTTTCCGATAGATCTCTTTAAATTCTCACCTGCTGAATGAGATGCATGCACTTGGAAGACTGTACTCCGTAAGCATTGTTGACTATATGTGGAATGTCATAATTAGCACAAATCGCAGACAGTTCTTCCAATCTACAAACAAACATTCAACAGAAAGACATACACCATTCTTTAAAAATCATAATGTCAAAACTCTTTTTAAAAGTCAACCTCAAAGTACACTAAAAGGAAAAAAAGTGAGAAAAAAAATTAAATTTCTTCTGAAGTAGCTTAGCATGTAATTCAGCAGCTTGGAAATACATATAGAACACTTTAGAAAAACCTAAAACAACCTTTTAAATTAATGCTATCAATAAATGAGGAAAAACATAAAATTTTATACAGATGGTAACTTTTAAATCATTCTAAAACTTCCATATACAAAGCAAGAAGATTATTTACAATGACCCCTCACAAAGCGGTGTACTCTTTTTTGTTGTGCTTTTGGTTGTTTAACTTATTGGAACTAGTACCCAAAAGATAATTAACACATGTGCAAATTTTAAGAAATCTCACATTGAACATCTCACAAAATAAAAACATGCATATTCAAACACACTTTAATTCGTTAAAAAAAAAAGAACATTAAAATGTTTCAACACCAAAATCACTGACATTTACAACAACCTGGATACTAAAGAATCTTAAATAACTGCTCATTTTAAATCTACACTTATTCATACTACTTTCTCATTTCACACCTCCCTCAGTGAGGGAGTAAAGCAGTAAGTTTCAAAAATAGCGGCTTCTTTACAAAGCCTAATGCCATCACGGTTGAGGCCATCAATACTAGTGACACTTTCACACTGTGAGACAGACTAATCCTATGCTACAAAAAATTAATTTTTTTAAAGTTTTCCTTCACAAATAAAAGAATTGGAAGCACTGCATTTTTATATAAGGTCTTTTCCAAAAGGAATGTATTTCAAATATACATTATGGTTTTATTACCAAATTATGCATAAAACATTAAACAAATTTGAATTTGTTTTAAAACTATAAGTAAGAATAAAATTATTGTGCTTACTTTTCAGAAGTTTTCAATTTGCTTCCTTAAAGCTTTATGATTTAAAAATTTATTTTATCATTTTCAGAAACCTCACAAATACATAAATTTCTTTTGTTATTTAATCAGATGTTTTTAACAAAACAGACCTGGGATATACACAAGTATTTTCTTCCTAAGATAAAAGACACTTTCATGTATGTGTGATCTAGTGAAAGCATTCCCTAATAAAGAACTTCTTTGAAAATAAGGTACTATAATGTTAAAGTTCTGTTTTAAAAAGAAAAACAAAGAACACTTGTGAATAGTTTTAATAGGCAATACTGATCAAATACATTAATAGGATGTATACAAAGGTATTAAATAAAAGAATTATTTTCTAAATTAATCAAATTGTATTCAGGTAGAAGTTAATTTAAGGAATTTATCAGTTGAAAGAAATGACGTGTGTGTGTGTGTGTGTGTGTGTCTTGTGTGTGTGTCTCTCTCTCTCTCTCTCAGTTACTGGGATTTACTCAGGACCATGAGCTTGCCAGGCAGGTACTCTACCACTTGAGGCACCCCCAACCCTGATACCTTGCTTTTAATATTTAAGTAGATTCCTTCTACAATACTCCCTGTCCAAATCATTAACAGACAAAATATACAGCATGAAAATTAAAACTATTAAGAAACTTCACCTGATGTAAAAATGTAGTTTTAAATTTAATAAAACCAGACAAACACTAACTGTGCATCACTATTTTTCTAAACTTTATTCTCATCAAAAACATTCACTACGTACTCCTACTAAAAAGTGGTAACAATCTGCTGACCAATAAAAATTTTGATATTTTTCCTCACAAAAATAATGTGTGTAAAATATTTAACATAGTACAGACATAATGTAAACACTGGAAAAACTGTCAAAATGAAACAAAACAGAATTCTCTCCAAAGATAAATAATCCAACTAATACAAATACACACATGCTGTTTTTGGAAATGTGACTCATTTCTATCACAGTAAAATTTTTCTAGATATCAAAACCACCAAAGAAAGAACAGGGATGTTCCTTTAATATTCAAACAGAATCACAGACCCATGAATGCAGCAAGGTCAATTTTCAAGAGCATGGTTTTAAAATTATCTCTTAAAAAATTTGCCTGTAAGATAATAAAAGCTAATGTGCATCTCATTACTGCCAAATAATGTGAATCTGTGAAAACCAAAGTTATAACAATTTGATAACAAGGAAAGTACAAAATCAATATAATTCTTAAAATTTAACAGCACTTCTCTTTAAAATGTTTAAATGAAACAAAGCCAGAGTTGTCAAAAACAGAAATCTATATTAATAACTTAAGCCCTATTACACTATCAGAATAAAAATTTGTGGCTCTCCTTAAGAGAAGCAGACACTTTCATTTCTCCCTCTTCCACTTATTTTCTTAAATATTTATATTAGTCTCAAAATGTAGACAACCACTGTGCATACCTAGTTCACATCTGAGCTAATCTTCCAATTAAAAGAAATTCAAAGGACAGTAAATAATCCTAAAATCTTCAAATTAAAATCTGTCACTACTGACAGTTCCTACATATAAAACAACAAGGTCAAAGAAGTGAAAATAGCGATGAAGACATCTAAACCCAGCATTTAGCTTAGGAAAGAAAGATCTATAAAATAAGGGACAAGATGCTCAGAGACTGGAAACAGGCTTGAAGAGCAAGAAAACAAACAGACTGCATGTATTTGGGCAACAGAGGGTCTCCACCCCACACTGGTTGTTTTTCCTACTTGTACATCAAATTTTACCAAGTCATTACGCTATTTTTCCACAAGGTCAATCTATTCTCTTAGGACGGTCCATTCACTATTTACCACCAAATGTTATTTAAGCTTTTTGAAAACGAGTAGATAGCATTTTATTTAAAAGACTAACGAACACCTAAAGGTCAACATTCATAAATAATTTACCTGTCAGGCCCCCTTGGAGCAAAACATGACGTAGTAGAATGAATACACAGAATATTTTCAGGCTCCAGTTCCAGGACTTTAGCCTCCACAGCTTCTAGGTCTGTGCGGAGTTCGTCACCTTCCAAAACATTTTCTATCACCACAGGCTCAAAACCTGACCAAGCCAAGTAGAAATCCAAACATTAGTGTGAACTAAAGTAAGGGAATTTCCTAGAACTCTAGGAAGCAGTGCTATTCCACATGATTACTCTTCACTACTTATGCTGATTGATGAGACTTCCTCTAGTAGTAAAGACCTGGCTCAATACTGGCTTTAGTCAAAGGCAGGTCAAAATAACGTGAAGGAGAACTAGACAATTAAGACCATGAATCTTTTTTTTAACACTTTGATGGTACAAGAAAGAGGAATTCTGGGAAGTAAGGAAAACAAATGTTGAATGGTATCTACAGAAGTAATAACACAGACATTAACAGGAAAAAGATCATAGTCCAGTTCAGTTTTAGTGCACAGACAAGTAAGTCTGCTTGTTCTCTGGCAACGTCTCAATTTTATCTTAGAGCTCACTCTATTTCAAAGGTGAACATAATATAGCATAAATAATAATAATATAAATATTGAAACAAATCAGAATCACCAACTATGTTTTACATGTAAAGAAAACTAATTTCGTAGCCTAAAGATCACGGGCCTAGCCTATAGCTCACAAAGGACTTCTGTAATTTAAAAAGTTTCCTCAAATTTTCAATTGAAATAGCACTTAACTAACATATCATTAAAGGTCCTCCCACAAATAAGAATTATATAAACTTTAACAGTAAATATTTACATATCCATAAACTGAAAAGTTGTATAAAGCAAAATAAACATGAATATTTTTCCACAACTTTAAAAAAAAAGGAATCTGGAACAGATTTAGTTCATTCATCCATTTCTCTTTATAAGAAATCTGAATTTCTTAATCATTTCTGAAGTCATTAAAGCATTTCATGTGCCACTTCTCTTCTTTTACCTGCAGTGATCATGGACTTAAAGCAGGACTTCTGGTCTATGCGTGGCCAGATGATGTACTTTGCCATTGGTCTTTTGTGTCGTAATGTTAAGAAACACAAGGTTAGACTCATACCAGTTGCCATGGGCACTACAAAACAACTGGTCACGGAATGGACACCTACAGATAAGAAGTAAAACATAATTAGTTATCCCACTAAAAAACTAGCATCCTTCTTTAGTAAATTATATATTTATTTTGTTAAACAATACTTGAGCTGTAGCCCTAGTGTTCCTTTTTCTGTATTTGTTCTCAGAAAGGTCACTGTCAAATTTGCCATCTAGGGCTATAGCTCTGACTTTCTATATTAATGTGAAACAATTTTCATATGTGCATCCCTTTAAAAGCCACAAGTATTCCTTTTGGAAAGAGGCATTAGCAAAAAAAACTAGTCAAAGATGTGTTGTCTCATCTCCAAATGATGATCATTTAGTATGATACATACCAGCCAATTTTATGATGTCCAGGACCAAAGAATTGGTAATTTTGTTTAAAAGGCTAGAGCCTGCCGCTTTTGGTTGTACAGCAGAAATATCACCAGATCGTCCAATTCCATGAATGAACCTAAGCAAAAAGTGGGCCAAAAACTGGATGAATACATTCAGTGTTCTGAGTAATCCAATGTACAAATATGCAAATACAATAACCAAAAAATGAGCAGACATGGTGATTTACTTGTAATCCCACCTATTTGGAAAGTGGAAATAAAAGGCTCACAGTCTGAGGCCAGCCCAAGCAAAAAAAAAAAAAAGTAAGACCTTTTCTTAACAAGCTAGCCAAGACAGTGCATGTCTGTAATCCCAGCTGTGAGGGAGGCATAGGTAGGAGATTCACAGATTGAGGTTAGCCTGGGCAAAAGTATAAAACCCTATCTAAAAATAACTAAAAGCAAAAAGGGCTAGAGGCATGGTTCAAGTTGTACAATACTTGCTTGGCAAGCATGAGGCCCTCACTTAAAAACACCAGTACCAAAACCAAACAAACCAAAGAGGCAATATTCAGCTGTTGTAGATATATTTCACAATCTCTCTATAATGTGGAATGTTTTATTTAAATTAAAAACTGTACAAACTATGCTGAAATAGCTAGTTTCCAAAGATGGTCACCAGCAATTCCTTTTCTCCCTAGGCCCACACCAACTGACTCATTTCTACCTGAATTTGAGGTTGCCTTAGTCACTTGCTTGGCCAGGAAGAATCTAGCAGGAATGACTGTCTAGAAGCCCTAAGCTAAGTCATAAGAAGCCCTAGCTCCCACGAAGAGCTTATTCTTGGAGTGTTCCCTCTCAAAATCCAGCTGCCAGGTTGGGAGAAGCCCAGGCCACAAAATATATACTTCCCACTGAATTTCAGATGATGAAACTCCCAGCCAGCATCCCACCACAGCTGCACCAGAGGCCCAAAAGGTTACTCACATTTCTGAGCCCAGTTAACACACAGAAATATGATAAATAATAGTAAATAACTGTTTTTTAGCCATTAAGTTGTGGGGTGGCTTGCTATGCAACAACAGAAAAACAGAATACAGGAAATGTTAAGTTCTCTTTTCTTTGCCCTTCACCAGATTAGTATGCTCAGGTCCAATGGAGATGAACTGATATCTCAAAACTCGTGCTAATCTTAAAAGAATGATGTGCTTGTTAAAAATCAGTGCTCAAATCTACTCGCTTTAAGTGACATGATATTACACACTACTTAAAGATGCCTCTGAAAATGCTCTAACAATCCTTGCAACCTAAATAATTTATAATTTATAGTCACACAGATTATCGCAGTACATTACTTAAGATTGAATTCTCATGAGCAAAGCACTGTTTACATATATTATCAGCTGTTACCACTCCACTGTTAGAAATGAAATCTTCACCCAATTTATACACTCACTACCATTAGTTTTGATGTCAACAGTTTTGATTAAAAGTCTAGTATGCCTAGAAAATTTTATCATGACTTAAAAAATGGTAGACAGTTTTTAAGAGAGTTTACATATGTCTCACAGAAAGGTTAGAAGATAGATAAATTATATTCAGAACCACATCAATTAATTATTAATTATCAGAGTTGATAAAAAGATTTCTGAAATACAAAAAGTGACTTAATACACCCTTTCCTATGTTAATTGCAAAAGAGTTACTCATAAAAGGGGACTCAGCTTACATACTGATGAACAATACTTTAAAGTTCTAACTATACATCATTCCCCAATAAAACCTGCAATGTGAGAAAGGAAATATGGAAAACTATAAATATCCTTAACGTACTTTAAGCTCTTACAACCAAAAAGGTTTCTTATCAGAACATACAGCCTGAGTCTGGAGTGGTGGCTCATGCCTGTAATTCCAGCGCTTAACAGGCTGAGGGTGGAGGATCTCAAGTTCAAGGCCTGACTGGGCCACATAGCAAATTTCAGACCAGCCCGGCTACATGGTTGAGATAGTCTCAAAAAATAAAAAGAAAGAAAAAAGCCTGTGCTGTCACCCACCCAGACCCTGATGGGGTAACCACCATCTATTAAAGCTTCTACTCTATTGTCTTGAAAATCATGGGCCCAGATAAAATGTTCCCATCTTTCTGCTGCATTTGATTTGTGTCCATTTGAATAAGGAAGACTTGGTTTGTAAATGGAAAAATTTATAATTTAATAAGATGAATACTGCCCTCTCCTAAAAAAAGGAAAAAGTGTTTTCACAGTCTACTTTAAAATACATACCTGTAATGACGACGTGCAACTAAGGCAGATGCCACTCTCCCTTCCCTTTCTCCCACACCACAATTGCCCAAGAAATTGTTGCTATCCATGATGGCAAGTTCGTGTAAAAAGAGTTCAAGTGTACTTTCATCCCAACCATCCTCAGGACACTTGCCCTTTGTAGGGGGAAAAAAATCGTATAATTATATTCAAGAAAACCCCCACACCCATGTTATTTTAAAACTTTGAAATTAGCATATATTAGTTACAATCGGGGTTTCATGTGACATTTACACATGTGCTTTCAGTGTATGTTAATTATATTCACCCCCCCATCGTTCTCCCGCATCCCTCCACTTCTTAGAACTATTTCAACAGTTTTTGTTTTAGCTTCATACTGGAGTACAAAATACATCCACCTGTTTTACCTTCCCTTTTTTTTTTTTTTTTAATGTTGATTGTTCAAAGGGGTGTTGCCTTGGTATTTCACACACGTACGCATGTATTTTAGTTAGATTACTTAATCTAAGCCCCCTCTATTATTTAATCTTTGCCCTCACAAGTGGAAGCTAGACCTAAAAAATGTATAAATAAATACATATAACCTTCTACACATATATATACAGAGAGAATGTCCGCACGAGGGGACTACAGGAGGTGGGAGAGAGAATTAAAGAATGCACAGCACTGCAGTACATTGCACTTGTGTATGAGGACTGCATAGCGAAGTGCACTGAAAGCTGATGAGGAACAGGGGCGCAGGGGGGCAGAGAAGGAGTAAAGTCATCGAGGGGCTGCAGCTGTCTTAGATGCTCCTTTTGCCGTGCTCCTCCAACTTTCGGGCATGCGCTGGGCACGGCGCAGAAGCCTCAGCTTTGCAGGACGTCCGCACTGCGGGCAGCGGTGCAAATGCCTCCCTGGGTTCGCCGGGACTCTGAGGTTTCCCTGAGCTGGGGTGGCGGGAACCAACACCGCCATCCTCAGGGAGGGCTCTGCCGCCCGGGTCGGGCTTGGGCGGGTAAGGGCTCATGACGTCACGGGCACGTCACCCCGGTTTCCCAGCTGCGTGTTCCTGACGCCCCGCGAGCCGGCCAGGCGCGAGCGCTGCCCCTTCCGCCGTCAAACCCGGCCCGCACGCCCCTAAAAGGCCCTCGGGCTTTACGGCTTTGGGGACCCTCGGAGGGAACCGCGGGCAGCGACAGCCGGGACCCGGCCCTCGCGGGGGTGCGGGCAGCGCCGAGCTCGGCCGCGGTGGCCGCGGAGGGGACCGACACTCGGTACCTTCTCCAGAAGCTGCCGTATGAGGTGCTCATGCGAGCGGCGGGCCTCGCAGCCCTGCCGCACGTACGCCGGTGACACCAGCCGCTCGCCCGCCGCGAAATTGTCGCGGTTCATGACGGCAGGGTGCCGGCGGCGGGTGGACGGGACAACGCTCTCCACACGCTGGACTCGCAAGGGAACCAGAATGCAACTCGCCCCCTGGACGGTACGGCTGGGCCTTGGGGCCAAAAAAATTACCCGGCGTCCTGTCGTGCGCATGCGCACGCCGCTCTCGCCAGGAGCGCTGTCTTTGGGACGTTTGAGCATGCGCGGGTCGCAGACGTTGTCCCGCTCCCCCGCCCGCTCGCATTACAAGGCATCGGGTCGCTTAAACCGTAATTCCTGAGACCCAAGAAGACGGGAACTTCCAAAAAGGACTTTGTCCCCTTGTAGAGGGGCTAAAGAGATTGAAGTGCAAGAGCTTCTCCAGAAAGAAAATTTCCTGGGTTGCTCTGAATTCCAATCCTGTTACTTAATTGAGCTCTGTGCAGACATGTGCTTTGGCTTCACCCAGTTTGCCAGACCTTCCACGCTTACCTTCCATTTCCACATTTGTTACCGCCTGACAACCCATGGGAAATGCAGTGCTCCTCTGCTTTTCTCTGTTGCACTACTGAAATTTTAGCCATGACACTTGTCACGCACAATGTTTGTTTACACACATCAGTGAATAAAAACTATAAAAGGAGGGCCTTGGTTTTTGCTGGAGTATCCCCCAAGTAGCTAAAATAGTGTTCAGGGGCAAAAAAAAAAAAAAAAATCAAATTACATATTGAATTAAGAAAATTACTTTGACCATTGGACAACCTAGCAGTAAGTACTGGAGGAAAAAAAGCCCATCCTCCCTGTCTTCAGTCTCCTTGCTGCCTAGACCTCAGCTGAGCCCACTAACTCCTGCTCTGCTCTTAACCAGGAGGGTACTAGAGCCCACCTGCATCATTTCACACTCGATTGCAAGAGCTGAACGTTAACAGTAGTATTTGGAGCTAGTTTTTAAATATGGCCACTCTTAAAAATTAGTTATATAAGCTTACACTTAACACTACTGAAAGCAAAAGTGATAAATTCTCAAAATTATTTTTCTAATTATATTACCTCCTAATTATTTTATTATTACCCACGCATCCATTGCATCTGTATGGTGAGAATATATAATGGTGTACCTCTGCACATCTCTTTCCTACACCATTTTTTAATGACATCATGATGGTAATTTGAAATTGGCCATAGTAGGAATGTTTACACCATAGAAATCAATAAACAGTACAGATCACAAGTGCACAACAGGGGGATTGTTAAAGTTACTGAGGATCCTCTATCGTAATCAAGTTGTGTCTGCTCTGGGTATACCTTTGCCTTGGAGTCATACTTGACATATCCCCACGTAAAGGTGGGTATGAAGTTTACTAACATAGGAAGAAATTAAGTAGATCCTGAAAAGTAGATATATCCTACCAAACTGTCACCTAAGCATCCCAAATACCCCTTACAGACAGAACCAAGGGCAAGTTCAAAGCCATAGCTGAAGGCCTCATGTCCAAAGGTCTGCACTAGGCCTTGTGGCATTACGCCTCACCAATGGGTTTTCAACCTTCAGGGCAGTCAACAAAAATTTTGCCCCTTGCTTTACCTAACCAAAACACTATCCTGGAGTCGATTTTGTCTGAAGCCACTTGCTTCACTGAGGTGTTTGTTCTTTGCTTTTCAGTATACCTCGCTACACTCTCGAACCTCCCCATAGTCTGCTCAGACAGAACTACTTTATAATAATACTTTCTCTCTGTGTGTATATGGATATAAGGTCATATGCATATTTACATATATATTTTCTAATGAATGAGGGAAAAGAGTAAGTAAGAGAGGGGGTTCATCTGACTAAAGTAGATACGTACATGTGTGAAAACCCCTTGAACAATCAACATACACTCAAAAAAATGAACAGGAAGGTAAAACAGGTGGACATAGTTTGTACTCATCATTGTATGTCTGTTTTCAATGAGGTTTGTAGTATTTCCCTGCCAAGAAGCTATACACTTACAGTCTCTAAAAGTTACTTGATTTTGTGTTTCCAACCTGAGGCAAACCAACTTTTATATTAAGTGACCAAGGTACACACTTTATGCAAACACTTAAGGTATTACCTCTTACTCGATTATAAAATTATAAAAAGAATCTGCAAGTTTTTACCAAAACTGCTCTGTTTTTACCACCCACAGTCTCCTGGTTCTGGGGGTGTGGGGGAGAACTAATGGTTTCCTTACATTTAGATTAACAAAACTGGCAAATCCTTCTACTTCCTTGACTAAACGTACTCCCATTCCCAGTCTTTATGACCACATGGTCTGTTCCTGTGGGGAAACGCAGGTTATCTCCCATGAATGGCCATTCACTGAGAGACTCCATGTCTTGTAATAGACTTCCCTACCACACATAAACATGACAAAGTATGGAAAAGGATTGGTGTACTTTTTTTTTTCTGAGAGCCTTTCTTTTTTTCCCCATTTTTATTAGGATACATTCATTGTACCGGGAAGATTTGTTGTAACAATTCCAAATAGCCTTACACTGTACATTGGGTAGATCTCTCCTACCATCCCCCCCAACACACACACACACACACACACACACACACACACACTCACACACACACACAAACCCCTCCCCACTCCACTTAAAGCAATTGCAAGAGATTTTATCATTCTCTTTCATATATGTATATGAAGCCCATCAACAATATTCCCTCACCTTCATCGCTCCATTTACCCCGCAACTACAAATACCCCCCACACTGTATCTATTTTATAGTCCTGTCTTTCATTATTACCTCCAAAGTCAATGTCCAAAGGGGTTTCTCCATGTATCCCCCCTGTGAGAGGGATTGGTGTTCTATACCCAGTCCTGTCACCAAGATCACAACAACTTCTTCATGATCTTCAACAAGGAAATTTCGTCTATTGGAAGAGATAGCAGAGACAGACTGTTCTTGAACTTGAAGGAATCTTACCTGGTACTATTAATAACAACAGTTAAAGTCTAGGGAGTCAATCTCTTGGCTCACATTTCACAACTAAAGAAGCAATTCAGAATTCTGCAAAATTGAAAAGTTAACCCAATATAGTACTTCAGACAGAATTCTCAATCTTTTGAAGTTATCAACTTACTGAAGACCTTTAGGACAAACTGATGTCTTCAAATAGTAGACAATTTCCTCCTAGGCCATAAAACCAAGATCGCTGTCTAATTCTTGTTGATTTTTAAATTTGCTTGCTTATAATCACTCTTCTCATTTTATATAGACTCCTAGCCTTTGCCCTCCTTTAATGACCTCTTTTTCTTTATTCCCATATCATTGTTACATCAAAACATACTTATTCTAATCGCCATTCTTAGGTTCATTCAAACAATAGCCGCTGCCCTCAATCTTACTGACTGGTATATATGCCATCCATCACTAGACTGCCATGATAAAAATATCTGAGCTATTCCAATGTCATTAAACAAGACCATAGGGAATTACAACCAACGGTGTTTCCATTTGTAATTCCATGGACAAATGATCTTAAATGAATCAACCTGTAACTTTGCTAGTGTCCCTCTCTCCCTAAGAGAGAACCAATTATTATAGTATTGATCAGACCCTGGGTATTTCTATTTCAATTCAACATACTTAGTAGGGTGATGGGTCAAATACTTGCCACTTGTAAGAGACTAGTTGAGATGCAAATATGTAGACCAGCTAATGTAAAGCCTTGGTTCCTACCTTATATCATGAGCAACTCTTTTCTCCCCCCATATGTTAATGTGTCCCTACTAAATACAACTTCCTGTTGGCCAGAGCACCTAATCTGGTTTGCCTCAGACTAACACCTCATGTAGTTTAAGAATGGTATTCCAAGACTTATCTGTACACAGAGACTTCAATTTTATAAATCACCAAAACTGAAAATCCTGACTCACACATAAGTTCCAAAACCAGGCCACTCATCATTATTCAGGAACTCTCCCTGGGGGGATTACTGATTCATTGTTCATGTCGAGAGTGATACAAATAGAAATGACTGTGAGAAACTTATCATTAACTAAAGCAAGAGTTGTCAGTAATGCCACACTGCACTAGGAGGAATCCAGAGCACTTGCAGTTCATTTACATGAGCAATGATGGACAATCACATTGCTCTAGGTTTGTTTTTACCCAGTCACACTCGCATCCGGGTCATCGCTAAAATATCCTGCTGTACTGGGAGCAAGGTAGAAGAGACTATTCGCAACCTTGAGGAAAACACTATTTGGCAACCTTAAGTTGATCTTATGGACTGTGAGCTGTGTTCTCAGGGCCTGAGTTGGGCAGCACCTGGAAAGAAACTATTTATTACTTGTTCTTATTTTTTGTTATGACTGTAATGATGCTGGGCTTTGCATTCTATCTAGAGTCCTAAATTCTGTTTGGCCATCCTCTTACCAGATTTTGTCACTGTGCTGATGAAACAACAAAAATTCAAAAAGATGTCATGATAAGATTAGCTAGGGAGATCTTATCTGAACCATGCCAAGAGGAGATGATCTGGATGCCTGGCATCCTAACACTTAGTCAGCCTCCTGCATGTTAAAAGAATGTCAAAAACTGGGACAGAGGGACTGACTATACAAATGACCATACATGGCCAGACCATTTATGACAAGAGGATTCTGACCCATAAACTTGGAAGCAACCAGCCCACAAAACCAAACCACAGTTCTGCAGCAGTCATCCCAAAATACTCAGGGTTTACTCAAAGACCAGCTTCCCTTCATTTTACTCCCATTTCCAACTAGGGCTCAACCAGAGAAAGCCAAATACGCTCTCCGAGTAATCGCAGAGGATGTACTTCCCAAGCCAACAGCCTCCAATCAGGCCACTCCTCAAGTCTTCTCCCTTTCCACTGTCAAGTTTTCTCATTCCTCTGCTTGCCTTTGAGTCTCCACCAGACATGAGTGACGGTGGCTGGCTCCCCAACTATGGCAAACTCTGAACAAACAACCCCCACTTGTTTTTATTAGACAGTCTTCCTTTATGTCTGCACCTTCATAAAATTAAGTCACCAAAAGATAAAACACATGTGTATAACTAGAGGATCTCTCTCTAGCACACTGAAAATAATTAAGGAGAAAAACCAAATTCATTAGCATAATATTTCAGAATCCCATTT